TATTGATCACTCCATTATTATCACTTCTATTTAGTATTAATATAAAAAAAAAAAAAATAGGATCGCGATCCTAAATTTTTATATTTAACCGTTTATTGATTAGCCAATAAGGTGGTGTAAGATCGTCTAGTTTAAACTATTTTTTATATTAATACTAAATAGAAGTGAAAATAATGGAGTGATCAATAAGGTGGTGTATTATTTGTTACTATCCAACCAGAATTATTAACTTATATATTGACTTGTAATAACAAAATAATTAAAATAGTAATCATAATGTACATTATATACAGAGCATAATTATCGCGCAATAACGTGTAATAAATTTTTATTTACACATATATATTTTATTGAAGAAGATTCATTGCTTCACAAATAATATAATATTCATGTAATGTAATATAGATTTTTATTTTGATTCATAAGGGAATATCCGTTGATTCAGACAGAAATTGAAATAAAAAAAGTAAAAAGTAAATATTGTAATTTGTATGTATCGTATACTCTATAAATATATAAAGGAAGGTGCTGACCTTGGGTACAGCTGTACTCCGTCATAATCGAATAGTATTCGCATCTGGCGATAGTTTATGGTACTAATTGTTGAGTTATTTGATAATCTCTTTAAATCTGTACTTTTGTGTCGTTGCGATTATTTACACATAAGTTATATCTACTTTCGTATTTTATGACTCGTAAAGTAAAATTGAGATTTGTTTTGTGATTTTTGTAATTTTTTATAATAAAGATATAGATATCAGCCAAGGCTAATAAGAATGTGTCAAATATGTAGAATAATGTAGTAAATTATTTATAACCTCATTTATAACCTATATAAGCTGTTAACTAATTTTTTATTAGAAATTAATTTCTATGTACTTTGAAACATGACGGTTGATGTGCCTTGGAACGCTATTTCAAAAGTATATTAGCTGATTGTTATCTTTATATAACTTTTAGTTATTTGTTTAACTAAAATTTTTTCAATTTTTACTGACAGCTAGAATAATTGGAAGCTATTTGTTTGTATATAGCTACCATGCCACGTAGTAAACGTGGAATAAAAAGACCAAAGCGGATGCTGATAAACTCTGATATCTGCTGTAAATGCAGTTTTAGAAACTGAAACGACGAAAGTATCTTACTGAAAGAATCAACAAAAATATATAATGTAAAATTTTATTGTTTGTTAAAATGCTTAAATAATTTATTAGAATTAAGCGTTGATATTATTTTATTATTTTATTTTAATTTATTTTTATTTTTGCTTTTTTGTTTATTTTATTAGGTAATAAATATTTTATTAATAAGAATATTTTATTATTATCTTATAAGAATATAAGAGAGAAAAATAGAAGCAGTTAAGAAAAACACGCAAGATTACTTATAAAATTTATGAACGGTTGTTTTTATTTATGACGATAATGATTTATTTCGTTAAATTTTATTGTCATTTTTAATTTAATAATTAACTTAAATGTAACTAAATTTAATAAAATATTATATTTCTTTGAAAAGATTTGCTTTTTTTTAAATTATTTTTCATACGTGTTTCAAGGTACAAAAGGAAGTGTTCCAAGGTACATCAAGCTGCTGTACCTTAAAAAAAAATTTCCAATTATAAAAAATTGCTGTATTCTCTTACCAGATGGTAATAAAAATTTAGGTTTTTTTAATATGTAGGGGAGACCACGCGCGAGGCAAAGTCGTCACCGGGGCGGAGTCGTCATTGCAATTATCTCGAAGTCTGTATGTTGTGTGAACTCGCTATTAATACTGTAAACGCGGCTTATGGTGCCCACGTAACCAACGGAGTTTAGTGAGATTATGTGCCATGTTGTAATTCTTAAGGGAATCCTAAACTGACCCAAATTACCGACAATTGCAGGGATAGCTCTAACTTTGAGTAGACTGCACAGAACTTAAAAAAATGTGTACACAATTGAAATATGCACGAAAACACATCGCGCGAGTGTTGATTTCAAGACAAAAATCGGAAAAAATTAAAAAAATACATTTTTGAGCTGTCACCTACCGTAAACGTTTGCTTAATACAGGAGTTGTACAGTTTGTATGTACAAAATAAGATACACGCGCCATTCGTATAATGTGAACAAAGAATACCGTACATGAAAAACTAAAAGTAAAAACGTAACAAAAAAGTTTGAGCTTTCGCTACTATTTTGTGCAAAAGGACATGCAGGTTGTTAGGATAAGCAGTATTGCGTGTAGCGAGAGATGGCGCAGCGATCGAACAAGAACAGATTACTATAGTTAAACAAAGACAGATGTAGAGAAAACAGGATTAGAAATGTTGACATTATCGACATCGAGGAAGTTCGGCCTTCGCTTTAAGATCTTCTTAAGGACCATCTACAATAGCCGTAAGAGTATGCAGTAAGACGTAAGCAGTAAGCTACTGACTAATGGGATTTTTACAATTCAAGAATAATTAATCGACTGTGGTTGGTCAATAGCTTACTGCTTACGTCTTACTGCATTCTCTTACGGCTATTGTAGACGGTCCTTTATCGAGGCAAACGTGTTTTCGGAGGTCGAAAATAAAATTTTTTGCGCGTCAAAAATTTGTAATATCTTGAATATTATTGTGTCTCCAAATCTCAAAGTAAGTAATTTTAAAGAGTAATGCATGCTGAACACGAATCCAGTAAAGTTTTTTTATTTTTATTGATTTCTAATATTTTATGAGCGACCAAACTTGAAACTTGTGTCCGGGGCGAAGTCGTTACCAAGCCATATCATGGAGACTTCCGGCGAAAATTAAAGTCAAAGAAGCAGCAGTGGTCGGATTTCGGCGGGGACTTGGATAATATGTGCTGCGAGCACATGTGCTCAGAGATGACAGAATAGAGCTGACGAGAAACAATGCATTTCGTGCGAGCGTAGGGCACATAAGTGTGTGCGCTTTTCTTGTAATTATTTTCCGCCATTGTGTTTTTATTTAATGTTTCTATTTTTCTATTAAAAAATGTATCCTATTATTTTTCATGATCGGAATTATGAATTTTCATTTAAAATTCAGTCCGAGAATAGAGTAACGACTCCGCCCCGGCAATTTTGACATTTCAATTTTTGCACCTTTGTCGTTTTCACTGTATACCAGTTGAACAAAGCGACGTAGACCAAAAATGTCCGTATAAATTTTGTAGCCAAGGGTTTACTCTTTACAACGGTATACCACATTTTACTAAAATTATTTGTTTTGTTGTTAAAAACCGACGAATTTGTTGTTAAAAACTGACGACTTTGCCCCGGTCTCCCTACTTTAATTTTTTTTTTCAAATTTTTTTAATTAAAACTGTGGCTCAGAAAAATAAAAAACTCAAAAGTGTTTCGACGTACAGCACCTTTCCTTACATATATAAATCTGTACATAAGACTATCTTGTCGAAAGAATCAAAGTAATTAAGTTAAATATACTATAAACTTGATTTTTTATTGTAGATTTACCCACATTTTATACGTAAATGAATTAACTTAATCTTCAATTAATTAAGTCTTCGTGAAAATTAAGAAATTTCCCTTACGCTACTTTTTCATTACTTATATTTACTACTTCATTACTTATATTTACTACTTTATCATAAAATGTGCGCATGATCAGAACAATATTTTTATTCTATAAACTACAGAATAAAAGGGAGAACAATAATAACATTTTAGGAGGACATTGTTTGGTTCCAATGAATAAAGACATTGATTGTAAACATGTGTTTGATGTAAAAAAAATATATGTAATGATGATGAGTGTAGATGCGTTCCACTAAACGCCCGCAACGCTCGTAAGCATTATTTATTCTTATTTAACAGTTGACAAACAACAAGGATGAAATGATTCTAAAAACGTTGCGGGCGTTAATAGACGGAAAGCTGACGACACTTTTGGCCAAGTGATTTTAATAACTTAAGTGACTTTTGGCCAAGATATAAATCACGATTTTCCGTTATAACCTGCGTGGACGACTCTCCTTCGATAATCCGAACACCTGGCTGGCCGTACTTAGGGGGTTTAGAAGTACGCAGGTGAAAAAAAAAAACGGATTTTCAAGTCATAGTATAAGTCTTAATTTTTATCGGATATTGATAATTGATCACTCAGGAACATGCAAATAAATTGCCAGTTCGATTGCTCGGGGGGAATTAGTCGCCAGGTTTAATTAAAAATAATTAAAAATAATTATTTTTAAGTCATACTATAAAAGCTGGGTCTTTTTTACTAATAAGTATAGTGCTAACACATACCACCCAAAAAAAGCCAAGTGAAAATTTTGGTGGCAACATCTCTAAAAAAATTATTGAAAATGCACAAAGCCGGCGGAGGGGTCTGACGGTTATATCCGGCTATCTTCACAAAAAACGCAACGCTGCGCCAGCAAAGCCATTTTTTTATTTTTACATACTATTTATTATTTATCAATTTTTTCATAAATTGATACGATAATGATAGTTAAAATACACGTTTTTAAAAACTCATGGACGCTAAAAACAATTGAGGCCATCATCAGACCTCTCCGCCGCGCGCCGGATTTGTGCATTTTCAATAATTTTTTTAGAGATGTTGCCACCAAAATTTTCACTTGGCTTTTTTTTGGGTGGTATGTGTTAGCACTATACTTGTTAATAAAAAAAACCCAGCTTTTATAGTATAACTTGAAAATAATTATTTTTAATTATTTTTAATTAAGCCTGGCGACTAATTCCCCCCGAGCAATCGAACTGGCAATTTATTTGCATGTCCCTGAGTGATCAATTATCAATATCCGATAAAAATTAAGACTTATACTATGACTTGAAAATCCGTTTTTTTTCTCACCTGCGTACTTCTAAACCCCCTAAGTACGGCCAGCCAGGTGTTCGGATTATCGAGAGTCGTCCACGCAGGTTATAACGGAAAATCGTGATTTATAAAATCACTTGGCCAAAAGTGTCGTCAGCTCTTGGACTATAAGTGGAACGCACCTTATGTGTCGAGCGCTCACCTTGATATGAGTCATCCGATGGTAGTAAAGATTTGACGAGGCGGTGAACTTCTTTCCGCAGACGAGACACTGATGAGGTTTTTCGCCACTGTGGATACGCTTGTGCGTGTTTAACGAGCTCGAGGTTGAGAAACCCTTGTTGCACACCATGCAGACATGCGGTTTTTCCCCTTTAATTTAATGTCTTTTCTAAATTACCGCCGCTAATTGTTCACATTTTATGATTTCTGACTCGATTTATACGCGGATAACATGGCGTAACAGTTTCTTTTTTTTTAATGCATATTTATTTCGATCATCGAGCAAAAGCGATCGCAATTTCACAAACTGCACAGTTTACCGCAAATTGTGCCACAACTTACGTGAGCACAGTATAAAATTTACCTAATTTATGAAGATAAAAATATCATATCCAGTTGTATGTATGTACATTAACGCTTTGCGTTTTTTTTTTGTTTTAAAATTATTTAAATGCATGAATCTAGATGTAGAGTAAATGATTAAAATGGAATAGAATTAAATTGAATTCCAGACAAAAAAATAATATATTTGGTTGGGAATTCCAAAAATGGTCCACCTCCATTTCGATGAAACGTTGTAAAAAGTTTTATTTTGGGTTAAGATGAAATTTTTTAAAGGGAATTTTGGCGATTCCTATGACAAAGCCATTTTTCAAGATAAAATGATAAAAAGTATAGGAAGGATTTTAACAATTTTACAAGATGTTATAAATTATACCATTATATATTATAAATACTTCTTCTCACTTTACTTTAAACACGTGATCTTTCTATTTAAATCAACAATCATATTTTAGGAGTTTTTATATTGATTTAAAAAGCATTAAAAAACATGTTTTGCATGGATTTTCAACTTTTCACGCGAATCGAGGTCCACCCCCACCCACTTCTGCCAGCATGCGTACTGTATATACCGATGTGAAGTTAGCGCCCAACTTTAAAAAAAAACTGTACACAAATATCAGCAAATTACTTCCCTTAGCACTGACACAAACTGTTATATTTCTTAAACTATTTTTTTAATAACTTTTAAATAAATTATGAACGGCTAAAATTTTGGAAAGTTACTCAAGAGAGTGCTCTCTATATATAGTCAAAGTCAGGGTCACAAGAGATAGCTCCCCTAAACTAGATAATTATCACACTTACCATTTTTTTACTATTTTATTTTAAAAATCTTAAAATATAGCTGTAGAAATCGCCAAAATTCGCTTTATTTTAACCTAAAATAAAGCTTTTTACAGTTTTACAAAATTTCCTCAAAATCGGAGATGAACCGTTTTCAGAACTTTATCCATGAATATTTAATAACAATTAAGTAATTTAAATCGACTGACTGGCAATATATAACATCTTTTCGATGTGAACATTGAAAAAACTGTGAGCCAACTCGCTTTGTCGGATTCACGCAGCACTTTTTCTCATCAATCATCGAGACATTATTAATTACGACCAACGCGTTTGGTCAGATGATGTAATTTCTAAATTAAATAGTTTTAAATTTTATTGCGAAAAATATTACTCTAGCCAAGGTTCGAACCTGAAACCTCCCGTATACCGAGCGGGTGTCGTGTCAATTCGACCACTGGGGCTGTGGTAATATTTATCGCAATAACAACAATAAAAACATATATATTTACATGAAAAATTCTTTGAATGGAAAATCAAATTTTTTTTTTTAGAACATAAGAAAAGAAATATATAATTTTGCTATTTTTTGAATTAATAATAAAATTTGACATTAATTAAAATCTATTGCGTTTGTAAATTTTAATGGGAATAGTATCTTTAATAAAAATTATGCCCAAAACTCTATACTGAATCTGATGATAATAACAATTTCACGATATTTAGAAATTGCGATGTTCGATTAGTTCAATAGTTCCATATGTGCGTTTTGTATGCATAAAGTATCAATGAGTTAATATTTTACAAATATAAATAAATCTCATTGCTTGAATAAATTAATTACGAGTTTTAGGATACTGTTTCATACCTGTATGTGTCCTCATATGTCGTTTTAGAAGAGATGGCCGGTCGAAGGATTTGCCGCAGACCTCGCAGGGTAATAAAACTCTCTCCCCTCTCTTAATCGTCGTCAAGATACTGCAATCAAGGTGATCACCGGCCAACGATAATGTCGATGATGAGGATTCCTCGGACGTCGATTCGTACTCATCCAACTCGTAATAAGAGTGTGATATCGGTGGCAGAGAATGATGAGCGAGTAGTGTCATCGACAAGTCCAGCGGAGATTCTGCATGATAAGTAATTCAAGTGAAAATTTTCTATTGATTTTATTTTTAAGCAGTTTAAAAGAAGAAAGAGAGAGAGAGAGAGAGAGAGAGACTTAGAAATTGAACAAATCGATTAAAAAAATAATATATTAAAGAAATAGTTATGGAAAGATCTTCCAGAATTACTATTGATCTAAAAATTATTATTTATTTTCTCCCAATTTTTAATCTTTATTTTATACATTTTTATTATCTTTTATTTTAGAACATCTTTGAATTTCATAAATAATTATTAACTAAAAAAGCACAGGAGGACTAATTAGATAACTATTTAAATCATTTACATAAATACAGTTTTGACTAATTGTAAAACGTTTTGGTTCAAGTTTTACATTGATAATTTTTAGCTTATATGGTATAAGCAAGAGCTAAAAGATTAGTTTTTATTTTCAAAAATGGCTACAAATAGTTTGAAGGTGCATTTATAATATTATAGTTATTCTTATTTACTAGGCACATCATAAACATATGATCCTCTGCTTTTGATAGGAGATTAAGGAAGTTGTCCAACATCGTCGCGTTTACTTTATCTAAAATTTTCTGCCATAATCGATTACTCATTATGATTGCGGTGAAATAGTAGAAATTGTGAACATTCTATTTTTAATTTCGTGCATCATTATTTTAAACTCTATTTAACTTTTTTTTGTAGTATAAATTAAAAATTCTTTATAGAAATGGTGTCACGTTCTGTCTGTTGTTCGTCCGTTTTTTGGTCAATGCATTTAAGCAATTTACCAGGGATTTGAACAAGTCGTGTGAAAGTTATTATTATTATTATTATTATTATTATTATTATTATTATTATTATTATTATT